TGCACGGCACGGCAGGGCAGAACCCAGAGGGAAGCTCCGAGAAAGCATCTCGACACTGGTCCGGCACTGCACATCAAGGCCAGGAGCACAGGGATCAATCAGCGGGCGCGACGCCAGCGTACCCGGTGAGCGCTGCGGCAGAAGGCGGTCCGTTGCCGGGTGCTCTGGGCCGGCTGCAGCTGGTGGGAAGCGGCAGGCCGCGCCGCCTCGTACCGGTACTCGCAGCCGCAGGGCGACAGCAGCAGGCGGGCCCCCCCCGCGTAGTGCACCTCCGCCGAGTCGTCCCCGTACAGCACCATCAGCCGCTCCGCCATGGCCGGGGCGGCGCAGCCTGGGCCGCAGCCGGCACCGGGAACTGGGAAAGCCCCACCTCACGGGTGCCGCCTCCGCCGGGCGGGAAGAGAGGGATGGGGCGTGGCGCCGAGCTCACCGCCCACACAGCGGGGCTCGGTGGGGTCGCTGCGGCCTCCTGCCTGCAGGGCAGCGGGCGGAAGCGTGAGCCGGTTTATGCGCACGTCCGTAGAACAGCTGGGTGGGAATACAGTTTCAACTTGTTAGGGTTCGTTATTACCTGCTGGAAACACAAGTATCTTTTTGTTGCTCCAGAGATGAAGACTAGCAGTACGAAGGCCGAGATTATAGAAAAAAACCCCTATTTACCTGTATAGAATCACACAGTCAGCTATGTTGGAAAAGATCTTTAAGATCATCAGGTCCAACCATTAACTGAGGACTGCCAAGTCCACCACTAAACCCTGTCACAGCCTCAGCTATACGGTTTGTGAGCACTTCCAGGGACGCTGACTCCAGCACTGCCCTGGGCAGCCTGTTCCAATGCCTGAGCACCCTCTCTGTGAAGAATTTTTTCCTAATATCCAACCTAAACCTCCCCTGGTGCAGCTTGAGGCTGTTTCCTCTTGTCCTATCGCTTGTTACTGGGTGAGGAGAGACCAACCCCCACCCTCCTTTCAGGTAGTTGTAGAGCGCCATAAGGTCCCCCCTGAGCCTTCTCTCCCCTCAGCTGTTCCCCATCACACTTGTGCTCCAGACAACAGCTCTGTTGCCCTTCTCTGGACCCACTCCAGCACCTCAATATCTCTCTTGTAGTGAGGGGCCCAGAACTGGATTCAAGGTGTGGCCTCAACAGCACACAGTACAGGGGGATGATCACTGCCCTGGCCCTGCTGGCCGCACTACTGCTGATGCAGGCCAGGATGCTGTTGGCCTTCTTGGCTGCCTGGACACAAGCTGGATCATGTTCAGCTCTGTCAGTCACGACCTCCAGGCCCTTTTCTTCTGGGACCTGTACCTGTGCTTTAAGAAAGACCTTGTTCAGCAAGTGCCCTGATACAGAGCAGGGCTACCTGGAGCACAGCAGCAGCAGCACCAGTGCATTCCTTCCTCCCAGCTACTGTACAGGAGCTGTGGGTGTCTCCCCACAGGGTCACCTCTAGAAAAAAAGGAGGCCAATGGCCAATCTGCCACATGTCCCGAAGACAGATTATATTTAAGTAACTGTCTGGTCACTGCTCCTGTGTATTTATGCATTTGCAGGGCAGGGAAATCTAACAGGTATCCCTGTACTCAGAACTGAGTTGCAGAAGCCCTAGCTGAATGGACTGAAAGATTAATTTACCAAAGGCCAGTTTAAAAATTATGCCTAATTGCATTCAGTACAGATCTCCATTCTTTCTCAGCAAAGCAGAGAGTAGATCAACACCCAGTGAAGTGGCTACAGACAGCTATGCATCAGTCAGTCTGCTTCTGTTTGCAATACCCTTTTAAATGACTATTATCCTGCATTGTCCTTGCCTGAAGCAAGTTTCAAAGTAGGTATCAGGATTACAAATCCTTCATTACTCTTTATGATTTATGGACAATGCATTGTGTGTTACTGGCAACTTCACTGTTGTGGCCAGAATCCTCAGCACAGGAACTGTGGCAGTAGGTCACACATGCTGAAGTAGAGGTGGTAAATAAGCAGTACACGAAACAGTGCACTGCTTTCCCTGACTTCTGGCCAGAGTATCATTTTGTCTTGCTGCATCAGCTAGTGGGATTCACAAGTATAAACTGGGTGATTAGAACTACAATGCAGATGGGGGAAGCTGCAAACTTGAGCTGTCAATACCAAAGGGAAGGCAGGACGTAGTAAGAAAGTACTGTCCCAGAGAGAAATAAAAGCAACTGTTACAAACCAGACTGTCACAAACACTCAGTGCCGTAATGGATTATTCTATTTAAACAGAAAATAAAATCCCAGCTATGCGTAATTTCTGATATAGGACACAGCTGAGCTAGTTTTGCTTGTTTCTGTAGTGCTACAATTACTGAACCCAACATTCAAAAAACCAGTGACCATGTTTTCCTAAAAAAAAAACCCCAAAACCCCACCCCAAATCAAAACCAAACACAAAATACCCAACCAACCAAAACCCAAAAGATTAGCAGATTTGAAACTACCAAGAAAAAGTTGACTCAATATCTAAATATGTAACTCTCTCTCAAAAGCAAACCACATGAAAAACAGCACGTTTGAAATGACTTCAAGCAGCGTGTGATTTTCAAATACTAAACATTTTTGTTAAATCACAAATAATTTGTCTGGAATGGCAAATACTGTTTTCTAATGTGTGAAGCTTCCTCATGTGCTTGAATTTGGAGGCAAAGTCTGTTTCTTTTCAGAACCAGTGCTAAAGAAGTTTGCTTCACTTCTCTCCCACAGTTTGCTTTCCATGCTTTTGTACCTTCACTGGTTTACCATTATGTCATAAAGAAATCTATTTTAAAGTGTTATTTATCTGCAACGTGTTGTTCAGAAACTTGTGGATGAGAAACATACACAGTGCACTTGAAAATTCAGGTGAAATTATCTTTAAACCTCTCAAGACTCATCTCTGTCATGTACAGAACTACTGGCAGTTAAAAGCAGAGAGATGAGCAGGAAATGGTGATTATGATGATGCAAAACCTGCTGTTGGCTTTGCTCTCTCACATCTCATTCCCCCATCAGTAATTTGTGTTAGACTTCTGTGAGGTTTAAGACAAGTAAGGTTGTCAAGTGTTTAAGGCCAAGATTATTCTGTCTTCCTTATACAGTAAGGTAGAGTTAAAACCAATTTTTTACTCCAGTATGGCCTTAAAAACTCTTACAAAGCTTCCTATGTGGAGAGACCACCACCATTGCCACTACTTTGAACAGAAGCATCATTTTATGTCACCAAGCAGCACTGCTGGTGGAAGGCAAATCTTATGTTGCAAACTTTGAACCAAATTGCTTCATCCTTCCAATTCCTAGTCCTCAACATTTTTGTACAGGATGACTTGCCCTATTTCTTACCTACAGGGAAGACACACTGTCTCCACAAGCTGACACGGTATACAACTGGAGTCCGACAGCTACATTAGACAAAAAGACACTACAAAAGATACAAAACTAAAACACAAAGTGGAGTCCCTTGAAGACACTATTAGTTTACTATAATGGATATATGAATACTTGTTCCTTGGGAATTCAAGGTTTGAGTAAGTATGTTTTCCACAGGACATCTGCCTGTAAAGTCAGTGGAGGTCCAATCTGTGTTTGGATTCAAATTTTTGTATGAAAAACATGCTAAACATTTGAGAATGTGTGTGTGAAAAGAATCTAATTTAATATTCACTTTTCTATATTCTGGATTTTGTTCTAGAGACTCTGAAATGCTAATATAGCTCTTACACCCACACTGCTCTTTGATAAACTTTATTTTTCCAATGAGTATTAAAAGATAATACTCTCTGCAACTATCTAAAGAAAAATAGGAGTATTAGGTAAAGGGGAGATAACAGAAAAAGGACAAAAAGTACCTTTTTTATTTTTAAGCAAAAAATGTAGTGAAATTATACCAAAGGAAACAAAGCTGGTTAAGTTTTATTTTCCAAAACCCCAACCTAAATAAGTATGTTAAATGAACAGAAAAGAGTCAGTGCTCACTCTTAGCAGATGCACAAGTTATTTAATCAAACAAGTAACAGTGAAATATTACCAGAATTATTTACATGCATATTTACAACATGTGTTCTTTATAGTTGCTAACTTTTGGGATTTTTTTTTTTATTTTTATTTTTTAATTTTTTGGTAAGGGATTCTACTCAATCTAACCAGTAACAGATAACAGGAAACAGTACAACTGAGTTTGGCAACAACAATAACAGAGTATCCTAGGAAAGGTAACATGATTATATGGGGTCAAAAGAAGAGCAGTTGGCTTCAGAATGTTGACATTAATGAAATACATGAATTTACTCCAACTACAAAATCAAACTACATAAAATTAGAAGAATAAAGTAAGTTAGAAGAGTTACCAGCTCAGACATGTTAGATACATTGAAAAGAAAACCAAAACTCTATACTGAGCACTGCACAAACTCTTGAGAAGCATGGGTTAAAACAGAACTACATTTGTATGCTCTTGAATAACACCGCAAATTAAAGGCTAGTTTTTGCTTGTAGAAGTTGAAAATAAGCTTATCTAAACCAAAGACTTTGAAAGCACCCAACTTCCAAAATACTGCCTGCTTTCTCACCGATCAACATAGAATGTGTTTGTACCAGGGGAAAAAAAAAAAAACAAGCCAAACACATCTGGACCTCACCCGTACAGGTTTGGGGGAAAAAAAGAAGGAAATAAACAAAACAAAATTTCCCACAAAACAAAACTTACACAAATCACTTCTCATGGCTGTAATCTACAGGGGAAAAAATAAAACAAAAAAACTCCCCCAAAACACCCCTCCACCAAAAAAAAATCCCAAACCCAAGACTCAACTGTTTTTGGATCATGTTTTTTTAGGGGAAAAAAAAAAATTAAATGTGGGTATCTTTAAAAAGGGTGAGTAAATCCCAATGTATACTGGAACAAGCAAGAAAGCAGTTAAATTCAGATCAAGTTATTCTTACCCTTTTTCTCAAGTGAAATTTTACGGAGTAATTCCCCATTAGCTTGTAATTTCAGTTACGATAATTTTAAAATATTTTTTATTGCAGCCAAAACATTGTTCATATACCTGTACATAAAATAAACTATGATTATATACACAACATTTTAAGATACAGGGCATGAGTTTACAATTTTTGGCAGTTTCTGTTAATGACAATTGTGTAACTTTAGTACTTGGAGAAACTCAAGCTCCCTGTTTTGGTACAAATGTTTTTATCCCCATGAATTCTAACCATAAAGTGGCTTAATAAACTAACATTAATGTGTAACATCTCACTATTTTTTCGTATGTTCTGATTCTAGACAGAATTTTTCATATGCCTCTTCAATTTCTGGATCCATCTCATCATCAATGTCATCAAAATACCTGGGGAAAAAAAAAACAAAAACAAAAATCACCAAAGACGTTAAGTACAGCTTTTCAGAAACATTTATGTAGATGTCAAAAATAAAACACAGCTCTGTAAATAGCTGTTAACTATGACATTTTCCTAAAGGAGCTGAAAAGGAAAAAAACCATGGGTAACTAAGAAAATAAGTAAATAGAAACCTCAAAGCAGCATGGGCATGGTACAAATAGTGACAGTGCTTGTCACCATTTTGGATCATATTACACTGTCCACAGTTTAAAAACAGAAATAGTTTCCAAGATGATAGTAAGTGCCATAATGTTAACCAAGCTTCATAAAATTCAATAGTGCATCTGTATTGATCTATTTGCAAGAAACCATAATTAGCATTATATTAGCTTATTTTTTTGGTTGGTCAGCATCCTAGTTCAAATAGTGCATCCACCGCCTTGGTTGCACACTAGTTAAAGAATCCGTTTATATAAAAACCTGCATTCCTTTTTGTTGATACATGAAACCTTAATTCCAAAGGAATACTGAATAACCATTGAAGGAATACTACTTATTCTAAGGAAAGAACCGTAACAAATGTTGAGATACTGAAAATTTTGTAATCATCTCTAGCTGGGATGTATATGCATATCACTCAAGTGAATTCAGTTTGTCTCACTACCAACACTTGAAAGTCTGCTGCTTCATTTTGCTTGCAAATTTATTTATTTATAATGCAGAAAAGAGTTTGTTTGTACATGTATATGAATATCTGAATTCTAATTAACCCACTCAGTTGGATAAATATAAAATGTTTCAAATTTGTGTGATTACAAAACAGCTAACCTCCACTGTAGAGGTAACTATTAATTATTTAGTTTTATTTTTGGCAAGACTGGATTTCTGAGTCTGCAGTAAAAAGAACTGGTATTAAAAAAAAAAAAAAAAAAGAAAATTATCACTCAAAAAGAAAACATACGGATCTCCAGGTCCTGGCAGATACGTTCCATTTTCTTCGTATTCTGGAAAAAAGTCCTCTCTTTCAAGTAGCTCTTGGTATTTTTCTTGATAATCTGGCAAAGCAAAAATGACATTGAATAATATATAAAACTAGTCTTCTAAATTACCATACATCTGTATGGTTGGAAAATAACCTTCTAAATGAAACCAAAATGGTATGAAACATCTTATAGAAAAAAACCTCTTGCTACTGTGTTTCTCAGGACATGAACTAACCTTTAAGAATGATACCTAACTTCCCAGGCACAGATGTCTGCTGCAAGAGATTTCATGCCACACTGTGCTCAGATTACAGAAAACAAGGAAACTAAGGAAGAAACAACCCTTTTTGCTACTAACAAAAACCAAAAAATTGACTTGAAGATTTCTGGCTTTCTGGAGAGATCAAGTGCTGAGAACTATGGCACAAATTCTTCTGAGTGACAGGAACTCAAATACATGCTCTCCATTTCAAATATTTATTTTCTTTTAATGCAGGATAAGGCATGGGTTACACAAAGTCAGAAATTCAGACATAATTTTGTCTTTTAATCTGCATGAATTTCAGAAATTTGAAGAACAACTTTTTATGTACTTCAACAGGACAAAGTTGATTACAACTTTTCAAAGACTAAGAAGAAAGGTATGCTAAGCTATTGACATACCTGGATCCGCTGCAGTGAAAGGAACACCCTCAGAAGTGTAAAATGTTGGCTCATTCTAAGAATAAAGTTACACAGAAAGTTATACGTATTCAGAGAGACAGCTGTTTGTAGTTTTCAGCAATGTGACTGTCTATGAATCAAATTAAATTCACAATTAAGGAACTGAAGTGTATGTTCTTACCATAAAATAGTTAGGGTCATTTTCAGGGGTAGCTTCTGTATGTGCAGAAGATCCATGAACTCTACCCCAGTTACTTGATCTCAATTCTACTAGTTTCAGAAGCATATGTTTCACATCTCTGAAATAAAAAAAGCAGCACTCCAAAAGTTAGAATGTTTTGTGCGAAGTAGGAAACTGGGCTTCTCACATCTTGCAAATATTACGTAGTTAAATCCCCTCCCAAAAGCTCTATAACGGACAAAACCTGGTCCAGTCGACAGATAACTCTGAGTTAATTTCCACACACACACCCCCCCCCCATGTCTAGATGCTTTATATATCAAGTATAAGATACTCACCCTCTCCACTTCCTCTGTGGTGAAGTAAGGAGCCCATATGAAACAAAAATTGCTATAGTTTTTATCAAGATACCAAACCTGTAGCACAAGTTTTTCTGATAAAAGGATTGTACTGGGAAAAACAGGCAAATGATCTTCAAATTGTATTTAATAATCTAATTGATTCTCCTAACTTCAGCCCTCTTAATCACACTGTAATTTTGCAGTCAACAGTGAGAAGTAATGTCTCCAATACACTAGATATCACGAGTCATTTCACCCCTAAAATAACAGAAATTGCTTTTTTTCTTTTAAGCAAGTTCATGCAGAAGACTCTCATTAAGGAATAAATAAAATCTTCACTTGTTTTCTCTATTAAAGTAAGTTTGTGCTTCTGTGTCTTTGAAGCCTTTGCTTGTGCTATCAATTTTCTCAGGTTCCTGAAACAAAATTTTCCTCATCCTCCCTGGGGACAGCTCAATTACAACCCACAGATGCTACAAGCTACCTGTTGGCCTCCCTCCATATGGCAAGATATCAGGTCACAGTGCCTGGACCATCTATAGGTTTTTAGTGAATTTGCAAGAAGCTGAGGATGAAGTACAACAGAATCAGATCACCTCATTCATGCTGTTGATACCACTCATTGTTCTCCAGACTGCACTAAGACCATGCTCTCCAGAAAAAACAACACAAAACCAAGTTTCACTTTGCCTTTACATTTATAGTTATTTGTATATATTTATATAACCCTAATACTGTTAAACTAATATTTAAAAGTATAAACTAAGAGATATCACCACAGTTGTCTCCTTGTATATATACACTTGCTCTTAGAAACCAAAGCACTTACGAAAGATTTCAAGATCTAAAAAGTTGAAAAAAAAAAATTAAAAAAATCATTACTGTGGACACACATACCTATCAAAACATAAAATACACTTTTTTTAAAAAAAAAAACAATCTCCCCAAGCCTCCTCAATTAAGAAATATCTGATTTTATACATAGGAAGTGAGCCAAACATCCCCTTCCTTCTTATAAATAGACGTTTTTAAAATGTTTTGGATGTGTTGTTCATTATTCTTGAAGATTTTTAAGGTGTTCTGTTTAATATAAGAAAACCCCACTGCACACAAATTTATCTTCTCACCTGCTACAGTTTGCATCCAACACAACATTTTCAACTCTCTGAATAATATCCTCCATATCACTTTTTCCTTTTTCTTTCCAGGCATCTTCTAAAACTGAGCCTGTCAACTAAAGACATTGGATTAGTTTCTTTTTTTTTGTTTCTTGTTTGTTTAGTTTTTTTTTAATTATAAAACATTAATAAACTGTCAAAAGAACAGGTTCTGTAACAATTCATAACATTTAGACGTACTGCATGACTGCTTGAGGACTGACATTCCCAATTCCCAATACCTTTTTGCTAAACAGATTAACAGATCTTGTAAACAGTTTATTTTAGATTACAAGCAGTATGGTAGCTTTATGTCCAATGTTTATGTCACCAAGAAGTTCACAACCACTTCTCTCTTTTCAGTGTTGAAATGTGATTTGAAACAACTCTTCAATGACATTTGTCAGATCTTATGTAAGTATATGCTATAAAAATAGGAGACCTTATTTTTGCAGATAATGCCACTAGCTTACCTGAGAATAATGAAGAGTTTAACAAACAGTTTAGAAACACTTCAGTAAACTTAGCTAGCATCACACATGCCAGAGGATTTCATCTGGGTATATATGAGGAGCTAAGAATTATCTAATTAAGCCAGCCTGAATTTTAATCCATAAAATCTGGGAGGCTGAAGCTGATGCCAAGTTTTAGCAGCAGATAGTCTACTACTGCTGTGGATGAAAGCCTTTTCTGTTAAAAATAGGTACTTCGCTGCCCAGTAATTGCACAGTAGGAATTAAATCACAAGAAAAATAGTTTGCCTCTGTGATCAAAGTTAACAGCAATTCCTGATCTACTCAGCATAAATATTACACTTTCCAAAATGCCTGGAACGGCACCTGATGATACAAAGGAATAAAATGCAAAGATAAAAGCAAGCATCTTGGTCAGCATTTGTTTGGTGTTCTCAATTTTCTACTGCAGTCCTACCCTGATCCTAGACAATTAGATAATAGCACCAAGGAGTTTTAATTACAAATAAACATATTGCAGAGCAAACAGGTAAAACACCTGTATCTATCACTATATTAAATGGAAAAGACAACAGGAGACATTTACTGCTTCAATAATGAAGCCAAGGGGTTGGACTAGGTGATCTCCAGAGACCACTTCCAACCCTAACAACTCTGTGATTCTGTGTGATTCTGTTTCATGAAGTAGCCCAATCTAGCTACACATATACTCTAATATTTGTAGCTACTGTAAGACACTAGAGAACACTTGCATCACCCCACCCCCCCCAAACCTGTGTTCTGTAACACTCTGTAGGTTAGTACTGTGTCATAAAATGATTTAGATTGCTGTCTTTTATTTTGAATGGATGCTGTGAAGTCAAGTAAATATTCCAAGAACATTCACACAAATAGCAAGACGTCCACCTTCTTTTGAGAACAATTATAAAAACCAGCAGCACTGGAAAACCTCATGATTTGTGTACTGCCTTTTTGGGAAGTCCTTCAATGGGCCTTGCTTCAGGGAAGCACTGCCAACATAAGGATTGACCACAGGAGGGACTGTGCTTATTGAATACAACCTCACGTTTTTGCTTTGAAGCAACCTGTTTAAACATCCTAACTTCAAATGAAAAGTTTAAACAGAAAGATGTAAAACCTCTCTTCCCTATTCACCATATCAAAAGAAGCTTCCTGCATTTCAAGACAGAAGAGTCTGAAAAACAGTGGAGTGGCAAGAAGAGGGAAGAATGAGGAAAAAGCAACTAAACAACCAACCACCCTTCCCCTACCCCCTTTTTCCCCCAAAAAACCTAAAGTCCAAAAAAATGCTGTTTAGCTTTTAAATTGCTTTCCTGTAAAAGTCTTTTCGCAACTATGAATATAACCATGGCTAGCAAAGAGAAAAATTTCTCCCTGCATAGAAGCCACCATTTTTTTAAGGAAAAATTTAAGAGCAAAGAGGTTTGTTTTCATCATGAAAGAGGAATATATTTATTTGTGCAGTAGCAATGATACAGGCAATACAAGATGAAATAACTGGTATCAAGAACCTTTTGCCACAAAAAGTGGCAGACACGTCCTTCAGAACAGAGAACATAGAATCATAGAACAGTTAGGGTTGGAAAGGACCTTAAGATCATCTAGTTCCAACCCCCCTGCCATGGGCAGGGACACCTCACACTTAACCATGTCAACCAAGGATCTGTCCAACCTAGCCTTGAACACCGCCAGGGATGGAGCATTCACACCTTCCTTGGGCAACCCATTCCAGTGCCTCACCACCCTTACGATAAAGAATTTCTTCCTTATAACCAGTCTAAACTTCCCTTGTTTAAGTTTTAACCTGTTACCCCTTGTCCTATCACTACAGTCCCTAACAAAGAGTCCCTCCCCAGCATCCTTATAGGCCCCCACAATTCATTCAAATTGGTTAGTTTTCTCCCACACCAGAAACAGCAAAAGGAGACCTGAAGTGACTGCTTAATTGTCTGCATCCTGACTTCAGTTCCATTGCTCTTGTATGTATAAGAACAGCCTTTCATTTTACTTTTAGAGCTTATGTTACTTTTTTGTTGGCTCAATTTCATAATGGTACTAAGGAAGAAAAACACAGCAAACAAGTATAGCTTCCTCTGTTAATGATGTAATGCATAAAACCTTATAAACATTTCCTCATTTGCAGTTTCCCCCACTGCTTCCAAAGTTAAGAAGGTTAAAAAACTTGACCATTTTTTCCGTTAAAACTACTGTCTCACCTTCAGCAGTTTCACTGCACATATCAGATTACTGTCCACAGGATTAGACAACAGCGCATTTAGTAATTCCCGAAGGCCTTCTTGAAGAATTTCTGCTCGCATTACCTGTCCCTTTGTTCCTTTAATCTGCAACAAGGTTAAAAGACGTTTTAGAAATCAATTTAGTCACATTTTCATCTCTTGAATGCTGTTATGATTTGGTTTGTGATCAACATAGCTGAGGTCTTTAACTGGAAGAACATGCCACATACTGTAGCTGTTTTAGAACACAGACTTTGAGAATACCTTGCAATTCTGACATATACATAACAATGCATGCCTAGCATTTTGTTTGCTAGTAAATTGCTAAGAAAAGCTACCAAATGCCTGGCAAATGGTCCACAAAATCCCAGATTCCCAGAACCCCATGCTCTTTCCCATGTTACGATATGTATTCTCTACAGCTGTAGTGGCTTACTTCTGGAAGGTGCTCATTATGTATTTAAGAGAGTATAGAAAACAGTTAAAAAAATAAACCGTAAGTTCCACAGAACTGGACAACTCCTCCTCCTGCAAAGCCCTCTGTAAATTTTCCCATTTACTTCTAGCAAGTGAAAAGCAGATTTCAAGGCCTACTTACAAACAGAAATGGAAAACTCACATATTTATTTTCTTTCCTTATGCCAGCACAACATTTTTATATTGTTTGCTTATATCAAACTGTTGAAATAATCCTGCTAAAATACCTTTAAGTACACTTTGGCAGTGACCTTACTGAACTCACAAGTGTAAGAGTCAGAAGCTTTAAGTGTACATAAACTTTTCTGCACCTATTACAGATACAAAAAAACCCCAATCTAAATACAAGATTACATGCTTAAAGCATAATACAAGGGCTCAACCTTCAGAAGATGTATCTTTAAAGGCCTACATTTTTAATTGCCCATTTTAAAACTTTCCACATCTTCCTCAAGGGTGTGCTAATAGCTCCTATTGGTGACTGGATACTGAATTATGGGTTATTGATCATGATCTGCTTCTGCAAGGTTGTAACATTTCCTCTGCTGGTGAAGTGTACTCATCTGGGGGTACTGCCAGTCTAAAGAACATACCAAAAGCTGCATTCCAAAGGTGGTTGTGGTTGGTTTTTTTTTATAATTTCTTACACTTCAAAAAATATAAACTTCTACTGATCTTGTCCTATTTCCTGGACACACATTATAACAAAACTGTTCTAAAGTTCTTTTAATTTATTCCCCTCTCCCTTTAGAAAAAAACTCCTCAAATTACATGCCATTTTCAGTGTTTACCTGAACACAACAAAAAGTCAACAAAGAACCACACCACACGGAAGTTTCTTCTTACCTCTAGATTAAGGTAGAGTTCAGCTAAGAACAGGACAAAGGCATGAAACTCTTTTTGGGTAGTCTCATCTGCTCTGGTGGCTTCATCCCTGTTTTCATACTCTGCTCGACACCTGTAAAAATTAAAACAAAGTCATACATCTGTAAACATCCCAATGTATTTAACATGATATTTACTTAACAGAATGCTAAGAATTTATGAACTACATTGCAGCTGTTACATGCTGAATGTTGGCAAGTACAATTTGTGAAGGAAATGAGAGCACTTCACAAAGACACCATGGACTTGTCTCCTTTTAGATGAATACATATGATTACATGATGATGTTTTCAACGGCTGAAATTGGAGAGAGCAAAATGAAATAGAGCAAATTACAACATGGAAAAATTAAAAGACAGTTACGGTCTACATATAAGAATATGGGTCCAGGAAGTTTAACTCAGGCAGCCAAATGTCCACAAACCCAGATATTACTGTGAAAGCCATACTCCCCCTTTCAGGGTGCTGCCCACACTGTCTTAGATACCTTTACACTTACTCAATATATTCTTTATCTAACCATTTTAAGTGACAGTGATGCCTAGTTCATGACACTAAGCTGTGTGGCGATATGCTGGAAGGGAAGGATGCCATGCAGAGGGACCCTGACAAGCTTTAGAGGTGGGTGAGCGCAAACCTCATGAAGTTCAACAAGGCCACTTGGCTGGGGCAATCCCAAACATGGATATTGGCTGGGTGCATTCAGAGCAGCCCTGAAGAAAAGGACTTGGGGGTACTGGTGGATGAAAAACTGATTATCAGCTGGCAATGAGTACTAGCAGTCCAGAAAGCTTAACCACACCTTGGGCTGCATCAAGAAAAGCGTGACCAGCAAGTGAAGGGAAGTGATTCTCCCCCTCAACTCCACTCTGGTGAGACCCCACCTGCAGTACTACGTCCAGCTCTGGAGCCCCCAGCATAAGAAGGATGTGGAGCTGCTCAGAGGAGGGCCATAAAGATGATCAGAGGGCTGGAGAAGCTCTTCTATAAAGACAGGCTGAAAGAGCTAGGATTGTTCAGTCTAGAGAAGAGAAGGCTCCAGGGAGACCTTAGAGCAGCTTCCAGTGCCTAAAGGGGCTGACAAGAAGTCTGGAGAGGGATTTTTTGTAAGAGCAAATAGTGATAGTAGAAGGAGGGATGGCTTTAAACTGAAAGAGTGTAGATTTAGATTAGACATTAGGAAGAAGTTCTCTGCTGTGAGGGTGGTGAGGCCTTGGCACAGGTTGCCCAGAGAAGTTGTGGCTGACCCATCCCTGGCAGTGTTCAAAGCTAGGCTGGACGGGGCTTTGAGCAACCTGGTCTAGTGGAAGGTGTCCCTGCGCGTATCAGGGAGGTTGGAACTGGATGAGCTTTAAGCTCCCTTCCAAACCAAACCATTCTGTGATTCTATAATCTAGATATAAATACAGAGGATTAAGATAATGCGGCCGAGAGGTAATTTTTCTAGTACGCAACAACTGTGCCAAAAACATACAAGCTTACACAGCAGTTCAAAACCAGAATTAGAAAGTATTTGAGATAAAGGAAAGACAGACTTCTAATGTACTCTCTATGGTTATGTTGTGAATTAAGAAACACTAAGGAAACGAAAAAATCTACATTTTCTATTTCAGCTGCTTAAAGTAGAAACTTGGGTTGAGAAACAGAAGATGAACTCTCTGTGGTTATACTGTTAGGTTGTTTATCCCTCTTCCCAATTACATCTGTATTAGTAATAAAAACATAAGCAGGGTGCCAAAATTGATGTTATCTATTGGGTTGGCTTTAAAAAACCTGATAACCCAACCTTAACAGATTATTTCCTTCAAGTAACAAACATATTTAAAAAAAAAAATCCCCAAATAAAAGTCGTAATTTTGAAGGCAAAAAGGCTCATTTGGGGAAGAGAGAAAATGTAAGTATTTTCCATTTCTCTGTGTCCTGGTTTCAGCTGGGATAGAATTGATTTTCTTTCTAGTAGCCGGTACAGTACAGTGCTGTGGTTTGGCTTCAGTATGAGAATAATGCTAATAGCACACTGATGCTTTAGTTGTTTTGTGAGTACACTGGAGGAGTGAGTGAGTGGCTGTGTGGCATTTAGCTACCTGTCAGGTTAAACCATGACAGTCCTTTTGGGAGCTCAACACGGTGCACAAAAGATTGAGCTAACAACAGATCTGACCACAGTGTGTTAAAACAAATTTGCTATAAGCATTCATTATATTAGTTTAACAGTCACTGGTCACAATATTGATTGATTTTCCCTCAGACTTGCTGTGTGTGTTCTCAGAGTTGTGGTAACACCTTCCTTGCTGTACATGTTGCCTGTTGTGATATTTATCAACTATGGGGGCTGGGTTAAGGTTACTATTTTGCTGTACTTTGTAACACTGGCTTATGACATGATAAAATTGCTGCTTGTGAGACTCACCTGGTCTCTCTCAACCTTGCCTCATTTCTGTACTTCGGGAGCCATCTATCGGAATCTATTGGCAATTACACCTTTTACCTTCTCGGAGAGTCAACCCATTGCTGGAGATACGTTCCTCCATCTTCCCTTTCTTCTGCAGGAGAAACCTTCCTCCATCTTCCTCTTCTTCTCCAGGCTAATTATAATAGCTTGAGAATTTTGAATATTCTAGGGATGTTCAAACCAGCATGATCCTACTGCTATGTCTCCTAAACGTCCTCAGAGTTAAACAACTATTTAAGAATACCATCCAGAGATCTGTCACGAGGCTAGATAGTTATGAGTGCTGCTTGGGTAAAGTACCTGTTGTAAAAGTATGCCACGTAGACAGATACTCAAGTACTCAAGAGTTGGGCCACTGAAGAACATCAAAACAGCCAAAAGGTAGATCAGGCTGCTAAGACTGAAGCGTCTCAGGTGGATTTGGACTGGCAACATAAGGGAGAATTATTTTTAACCCAGTGGCCTCATGCAGGCCACCAAGGAGGAGATGCAACATATAGATGGGATCATGACTGTGGAGCAGATTTCACCATGGACACTATTGGACAGGTTATCCACAGATGTAAAACATGCATTGCATTTCAGCAAGCCAACTACTTGGCTTTATTATTATTATTTTTCCTTCAATTTCTGTCTTATTAAATTGTCTTTTCTACCCAGGTCTTCTCCTCCATCCTCCTGAGGGGCAGGGAGAGTAAGCAAGTGGCTGTTATCATTTTTAGCTACCTGCTGTCTTCAACCATGACACTCCAGAAGTTACACTCTGGATAAAAGATCATCATAATGCATTGCTGTTGAAGTTTTTCATGATTTTGTTTCTAAACATAGGTGCACTAAGTGAAACTTTTTAAAAGAAGCAAGCTTGAAGTTTATAAAGCCAAAAGTCCTTAAAGAGAAAAAGACTAATTTCTAAAGAATTCTCAAGTATTACAGTGTACTGCTTCAAAAGTCATGCAGTAAGATTTAAAAGATCTAAAATAGTCCATTTAAAAACTTTTTTTTTTGTCAACTACAAAGTCTATTAAACTGTAAGCCCTCGGAATTCTGTAGAAACTGAAAACTGAAGAAATGTATTCTTATGGATTTTATGCACCCACTTCACAGACAAAGTCAGTTAGCTGATCAGTGAATAAACCTTGCACAGCAACTCCAGCCAGAAAAGTAATTAAAGGAAAAAAAAAAACCCAAACCACAATGAAGTCAGTCTTGGCAAGGGTCAAAGGACAAGAACAGTACATATATGTGCATTTACTATACTTCCAAACTTTAGTTGATTAACTTTCCAATTTACCCTGTAATTTGTGATCAGTCTGAGATACTCAGGTCAAAAGAGCCAACAGAACTCCAAATGGAATCCCTTTCTCATATTTTAAAATATTAGAATATTTTAAAATGTATGTTTTTGATAACCAGTATGTACCTGTGCTTTAATAATCCTCAATCTAAACTATTTTATAGATGTACCTGGTTGCACATGATGCTAACAGTTACAAAGTAAGAAGACATGTAACCTGAGGAAGTAACAGGCTTAAAATTACATATTGATACTGACCTTTGAAGTAACAGTTGTCGGAAGTTCCCACTTTGTGGACTAATGGTTAGATGGTGAGATAGATAGTTACACAAGCGAGCTCCCATGTATGAAAAATTTGGGACAGATGTTGCCTTCCAAAATAGAAGTGGAAAAAAAGGAATTATTCATAAAATCATTATTAGGCTATCAGGAAGTATCTTTAACAGCTTTTTTGAAAACTACTTAACAACAGTTGATAGGACAACTGAAGAGCAGAAGATTAATAATTACTATTTGTCATGTTAATTTTTACATCTCATCAACACTTTGCTAAATGCATTCCCGCACTTAAAAAATTACATGTACTGTGATTTTTTAAGAATCTTTAAGAAAACAACTACTATTATGCTGTGTGTCTCAACTGTGCTTCTTCACTATAACCTGCAACCAAAAAGTATCTGAAGGTCACTTAAAAACTGTTTTTACAAAAAAAAAAAATCAACACCGGACATCAAAACATTTTTCCAAGGACACACTCTCTCTCTCAAGGAGCAAAGAGTATATTAAAACAGCAGCAACAGCAAAAAGTCTGCTTCATTCAAAGGGCTGTTTATCCCGGAAACTATTCCTGGCAATAATGAATGCCCAGGGAAAAAGTATAAGAACATGGCAAGTAAAGACAAATACTTTCTCCTTTACACACTCCAGCAATCTGCAGAATAGCAAACTCCTGATTTGGAGGTTAAGACTGTTATCATTACAGTTAATAGCTCTTGATGGGTCTTTTTCTCCAGAACAAGTCATATTACTCTGAACATTTACACTTTTGTCATCTAAAAACAGCTGGCAGCAATGAAATTCTACAATGTAAGTTATACACTGTCTGAAAAATATTCTGCTTTAAATACTATACTTTAAAATTTTAAGAGGTGGAAAAAAGCAATTGAAAATTCAATATTGTCTATTACTCAAAGTCTCTTAGAACTTAATGCAGAACATCCCCTTATTTTGGCAATTTATTCCTGTTCAATTATTTTAAACTATCTTCTAACAACACTTGAATTAGAGATTCTTTCTCAAATACAGCTTCAGTGAAAAGTGGTTCTAGTTTAAGTAACTCCAGCAGCTCTGCCAAAAAGAAAATAGGATTATCAAGAATTCATTAAACTTCTCCCATGGCTGAATCATCTTTGAACATTCATTTTATATCTTGATCATCTATCAGCACTACAGCTGTGCTTGCTGCTTGTAACATGTTCAAATAAAAAGCATCTTGCCATTAGCATGTCAATGCGTTGTATCTAGTTACCTTCTATGTGTACTATAGCTAGTTACAGGCAGAGAAAAATGCACTTACTGTAACTGTACTGTGTGCATGAAGTCGCTGGTAAAAACTGAATTGTCTTTGGAAGATACAACAAGTTTATGTAGCTAAGATAGTAAACCAGAATCTAGTTTCCAGTAAGAGGCATGTGAAATATCTAATGAGCTTTTTGGTCCTTTGGTTCAATTAGTTGCTTGGACTAGAAAAGGTGTCCCCTTTTTATAAAGCAAAATACATCACTTTAATTTCACTTCTCTCTCCTAACAAACCCCCCAAATCAATCAAGCACACACGCAAATTCTTCGAACCTCATCTGTATTTTCTAAACTTCATCTTCCTAAGTACTTGGTCTGCATTTGTGGTTGCATCAAATACTGAAACAATTAAGTTTTAGGTATTATGACCTAAATTTTAGGTATTATGACTCAGAGACCAAAAAAACCCACCTCTACATCTTCTTAATAACCAGTCATTACTGTGCAGTAACATCCTCCCTGAATTATTGTTGCTGGTAATCCCAGTTTATCTCCGACTCAAAAAACTCACAACCTAAGCAGAAGGCTAATTACCAATACTTATCTTGAGAAATTTCAGTTGGTGTATTAACTATAAACAGCCAAGATTCTTGAGCTATAATGTCAGAGTGCTCAACTTTTGGAAAACAAGAGAACCAAAAATTCACTCTGTATAGAGACATAAATGGGTTAGGAAGAAGAAGGGGAAGTATATAATTAATACTTATAGGCAGATTGAGATACCTGATACACAGACAAAGGGAAGAGTGTACATGTCTTGGGTTTCATTCATTTTAGTCTTTACACATAGCGGGTGTAAATCTGCCACCTTTAACCCAGGACTGCCAAGTCCATTACCAAACCATGTCACTGAGGGCCTCACCTACATGGTTTTTGAAGACTTCCAGCAATGGTAATTCTACCACTGCACTGGGCAGCCTGTTCCAGTGGCTGACCACCCTCTTGGTGAAGAAATTTTTCCTAATACCCAGTCAAAACCTCCCCTGTTGCAGCTTGAGGCAGTTACCTCTTACCCTACTGCTTGTTACCAGGTAAGAAAAGACCAGCCACCTCTTGGTTCCATCCTCCTTTCAAATAGCTGTAGAGAGTGAGAAGAACTCCCCTTTGCCTCCTTTTCTCCAGACTGAACACCCCCAGGTCCCTCAGCTGTTCCTCATCACACTTGTGCTCCAGACACTTCAGCTTTGCTGCGCTTTTCTGGACATGCTCCAGCACCTCAATGTCTCTCTGTAGTGAGAGGCCCAGAACTGAATGCAGGACTTGAGGTGTGGCCTCACCAGTGCTGAGTACAGGAGGCCTCTAACCATTTCTTCCTGAACTATAGAGACTTCAATCAGCTCCCCATCTCTGCCATACAGCTCAGAAAGCTGAGCACCCTGAGGATGGCTGGTGTGACTACTGAAGACTGAGGCAAAGGCAACATTAAGTATGTCATTCTTTTCCTCATCCTTGGTCACTAGGTTTCCCCTGCTATTCAGTAAAAGATGGAGGTTCTCCTTGGCCCTCCTCTTATTGCTAATACATTTGTAAAAATACTTTTTATTATCTCTTATGGCAGTAGCCAGAGTTAGTTCCATCTGTGCCTTCCCCTTTCCAATTTTCTCCTTCCATAATTCAAAAATATCCTTGTAATTCCTGATGGGCCAACACTCCCTTCTACAGGTAATAGATTCTCCTTTCTTCTCCTGAATTCCCACAATATCTCCCTGTTCAGCCAGGCCATTAGATCAGGTTGCTCAAAGGCCCATCCAGCCTGGTCTTGAACATTTCCAGGAATGGGACATCCACAACTTCTCTGGGCAACCTGTGCCAGCTGTAAGATCTTTCTGGAGTAACCTTTTCTCCAGGCTGAACAAAACCATCTCTCTCAGCCTGTCTTCATAGGAGAGGCGCTCTAGCCCTCATTGAGTAATAATACTCAATGCTTCTCAGTTGAAGAAGGCACAGCCAACCCTAACACTGGACCTGTTTTTAAACAGGGGGGGAGAGAAAGAGACAACACTGAAGACATTAAGTAAGAGTCTATTTAACTTGTATAAATTTAAAAATCTGATAAATCCCTCTTTTTCTTCCAATAAAGTTACATGGATATGTTAATCTTTTTAAACTGTTGTCCATGTGTTCAAATAAAAGATGGGAAAACAATGCTGCCAAACACAGCACAGATAATCTTACAGATAATCACTAATCTGTTGTGAATTAAATCTGCATTAATTCTATATGACAGTAAGAAACTTTAGACTCTACGGTTCTGTACCATGATCAATTGGTCATGCAGCTTCTACATGCCTCAGATTAAAATATTCTGCAAGTATCTGCACTTAAAAGGTAAATAAGAGTTTGCATTCTCCAAGGTAGAATTCAAAACCAACCAACCCAGAAAAGTGAAAGATGCACAAGGTAATGAACAGCAAGGGCAAGTGTGACTTCATTCTCTGCAACAAGGCCAAAAGACAGTAAAACCAGCTAATTTGCTAACCAACAGATATTAAGCTGTTTGTTCCAATGGCTCCTCCAATTAGTATGGAGTTCAGCTCAAGGTCGCTGTCCTCATTTCCATGGCCATCAATGGGACTGGACCTAGTTACCATTAGATGAGCTTTCCCTTCCCCTAGTTACGCTGTTCTGAAATAGGTACATTCCAAATGAATAAGAAAGCCTGTCAGTAAAGGAGTATTTCCCAAAGGTTGATGAGCACAGTAGGTATGAATTTAATTTTTTAAAATACCAAGGAATTGAAAGTTTCTGAGTAGTATAAGGAACTTGCTTTGCAGGATAGAATAAAAATGTACAACTCTGGCATTCCTTAAGAGTGCACTTCTTCAATCTTTACTACATAAATAAAGCAATTCAAATACAACTCCCTTTAACCGTCATTTCAAATATAGTATGTGAGCCAGGAGATAAAAATTTATCAACAGCCCAAGTATCCCACACCTGAGCTACCATTTAGATTTGATTTAGCAAAATCTTTCCCTATATGTTCCAGTCTAAAAAGAAAAATTCATTAAACAACTACATAGATAAAATTACATGACAAACAATACTGGTATGCATACTTTGGACACTAGGTAATAGAGGCATAGTATCAATGTTATATACACAGTGTACCTGCTGATAGATGAGCTCAACAAGCCCTTGTAAATCTTCACCTGAAGTGACCCAGGCATTCAGTGTTTCAGCAAACTGCTCTATTTCAGTTTCAAAACAAGCTGGTTGGTCGGTGAGGTGATTTAGGAAGTCTTGTACATATTCCACCAAAGTCAGATAGCCATCGTATCTATCTTCAAAGGAAGAATCCTATAGCAATGAAATAACATACCGACTATTTAAAAGGAACAGTTTACTTCAACACAAGAGAACACAGACCTCAGGGCATCAGAAAGCTCTAGTAGTCCTATCATCTTAAGAACTAAGTAATATTTTTATATAGAGTCTCCAGGCAAAACACATCAAAAGACAGATCAAAAGAAATCAAAGAGTTTGCCAAGTTAGGTGCAAGATTAACTAAGCAATAAAGTATATATGTTAAGACTAAAGCTAATAGAGGCTCAACACCCATTCCTGATGTGCAAACAGTGCTGCATATATCCGAAATGTAGAAGGAAAAATAATTGGAAACTTGAAACAAATTATGTTGGGCTTAAACAGAGTATATAGTGCTTCAAAACATGCAGAATGGCAAGAAATTACAGAAATACAATAAATACAACTAGTGCCCCCATGTAAAAAGTATTTTTTAAAGTCAGTGAATCTGCATCTCTTGACAATGGATGAAAGACTACAAAGCATGAAATGAAACTATTCAAATGGTACTGCATTAATTTGCAGCTATTGAGGTTAAAAAACAGACAGTAAACACACCTGCTCCCTAAAGGAGGGATGAGCTTGCACAATATCACTTTATCAGTGTTGACACTCCTGCTGACGGACAGAAGTCTGTCAATTTTGTTCATTCAGAAATGAACATATGTAATGGTATCTGAAGTCAATACTGTTCTGGAGTATTATGATGCTAGCATGGGAGGGGAACAGCAAAGTAAGCAGGATACTTTGTGATGTCACTAGTAATAACACAGTACAAATAATTCACTTTGTCACGCTATACACAAGATGGTGAAAAGCATTCTTACACAGATTTCAGAAGTGTAAGCAGGAGCCTAAAGAGGGACTGCTAAAGAAATGACTTATCATTAGTTATTCAAGACGTAAGGGTAACACAGAATATCAGGCCTGTCAACTGATCTACTAGTTAACAAGAAAAAGGTTTAAAATACATGAACTGTAAAGAATAAAATTATCTAAAAATATTAGTGAACTAACAATTTTCTTCATCTAGTGGACATAAATACATTGCCAAGGGTTGTAAGTACATTCTCCTTTTCCCCACCACTTCTCCCTTATTGAAGGGATGTAATTTACTTTCTGTCTTCAAAACACCTCAGTCTCTCCTCTACTGTGAAGCAACATGGATCTGTGAAAGATTTTTATTTGGACATGAACTGCACAGAAAGACACTGCTGACAATTAAGTATTTACATTAATTTCATGACCTGTGAAGAATGCGTGGGGAAAAAGGCAGACCTTCCAAAATTCTTCAAAGATCCGCATCATAAGGTTATACAACTTAAGCTAGGGTGAGACATATCCATATAATAAAAGAAAAAAATAGAAAGATTTCCTATTATGTTTAATTAAGTAGAATATTTGTCTTTAGTATTATTCACTGTACAAAGTTACATAATATTGCCCACAAGAAACTGAAAAAAGAAAGAAAAGGGTTTATGGAAATGGTGGCGAATTGTTATTACTATAAGGATAAATATTTCAACAACCTGGTCCAAGTTAATTTTATTTTGAGCTGGGGAAGGGAGTCAAGGAGCTTCAGAGGTCTTTTCCAACTTGAAGTATCCTACAGTTCTAATGGTTTGGAGCTTACAAAGCCAAAGAATAAAGGGTAACAGGCCTATGTGTAATTTGCTAAATACTCTATTTTGCTAAAGGAAATCAACTTTTACTAGGCAATTTCAAGTACCCCAGGAAAAGTTCTGTACAATAAACTTCAACTATTTTGTTCCACAGAACTATGACATTATTGTGCAACGACTACAGCTTCGTCATATACAAATGAACTGGCATTTCTCCAAACAACCTGTTCAAAAACTCTCCTGCAGGGAGATAGCAGGGAATGCTATTGCTGCAGCTAGCATAAAGAAGCTGCTCCTTCTGACAGCCATCAGGTTGTTAGGAGATCCTCATTCACCAGAGAGGAAGGTATCTTCCTCTCATACTTACCTGATAGGAATTCAATATTGGAGGAGAATGTCTTTCCGGAAGGAGCCCCAATATCATTTGGTATACCGGTGTCCCTGTATTCATACTCCTCTTCCCATTTTGTAATTAAAAGGCTAAACACAGAGGCTTTGTAACCACATTAATCTACCTGTACTAACTACACAAATCCAAATGCAATTGAGGTTTTAGTAACTATGCCAGCAAAAAGAACAAATAGGAGAGAAAAATGAATAATTCAGATGTTATAATAAAGTTGTATATTGCTAAATAAGTAATGCTTGATACTTTAAAAATAATAATGTTTAGCCCAGTAACTTCTAGACATAAACCACTCACATTTGTCACTGGCAGATTTTAACAAGCGAAGACAGCACTTATTACTGTATCAAATAAAGAAAAGCAAAGCAAATCCCTCCTATTATTTTTATTAGTTGGCTAATAGGAAGCTATAAGTTTACAAATTTGTGATTCAAAGCCATGAAAATCAAACAGAAATTTTCCACGAATTTCTGTTCTGTTGTTGATTTCTCAATCAAGCGAACACTGTCTAATCCTTCTCCTTTATGTTTGCTAGCTATAGGATGGGATCCTGGATTATTCACAACAAAAGACTGACCAATTTAAAGATAATGGATTTGCCTCTTTTTGGCTAAGAGATGACTTGCTTCTCTTTTGCCTCTGCTTCTACTAAGAGTCAATTCATGAGTTTCGAAAAAACAATAGTGAAAAAGCTCAGTAGGTACTAAAACTCCTCTGGTTTATGTAAAGGTAACAAAAAGGAAGATATATGAGCCAAGTCTGCTCTTGTGCTCAGTTTCTGCACATGTGCTAATTACCGCCTTCCTATACCTGGTAGATATTTACAACATTTCTTCCACTTATGAACTTCGTCACTGAATCCTTCATTCGATTTCTCTTCAGACCCTTAGGAACAAGCTCTTCTCACTTTCAGATTATATGCACTTAACAAGTTTACAATAAATTTATTGGAAACTTAAGTACAAATGATGTACAGTGAAAATGGAATTTGCCATAGTGATAAACAGTGATTAACAACATCACTTGTAAAAACAAGACTGTGTGTAAGCAATACACTCCTTACTAATTACCTTAACCTTAGAAGCAGAGCTAAAGGACTGATAAAAGGAGAACACCTGCACCAGACAGTGCCAAACACAAAGTGAATACTAGAAAAACAAGTGGTCAACAAGAAAGGGCAGTAGCTGGGTGAAAAGCGAAGGTGGCACAGGAAGATTGCTGACTGGCCCAATTCAGGACCCAAAAAGCTTGCTGTCTCCCCACCCCCTTTCATGAAGCATGTGTGCTAAAATAAAGTACTAATTAATAATATATTTGGTAACTTTTGACCAATGATAAGTAATTTCTTTGCTCTCTGAAATGTATATATTTGATGTACACAAAACTAAGGTGTGCTAGCTTTGTGGAGCTTCCACCTAATACCTTATTCTGCAAAACACCTGAGAATAAAACACCTCGAGTCTGAGTATATATAGTCATTCTGCACACCAAGTAACAATTTCACTTTTGGGACAGCATAAAGACTGTTGCATATACAAAATCACCTTGCCATGCTGTATAAAGGGAAGAGGCACCCCCCCTGCTTGGCTAAACATATAAGACCAGCACTGAGGCTGCTTAACCTCCTTCTTTTTGAAATGAAAAGAAGTAAAGAACAAAGCCAGATCAAATGGTGATGGTCGGATTCCACCTAAGATGATACAAATCTCATCTTACGAAGTGAAGACATCATTGTGCCCTTCTGATGTAGTGAGAGCCATGTTATTATCATACACTTGTGCCAGAGAACAAGTCTGACATTTCCAACTAGCAATTCAAACCTAAATCCAGTCACCAATTCTACTGCAGAATTCCACAAGTTCTGATTGGACCGACCTCTGTATGGAAACAGATAATCCCATAGAATCATAGAACAGCTAGGGTTGGAAAGGACCTTAAGATCATCAAGGTCCAACCCCCCTGCCATGGGCAGGGACCATGGGGTCTTTATTCCCTAAAGTCCTGGTAAAGTTTTTCTGAAAACTCTAGTATGCCTTGTGTGCTGTACCACTTACACTGTCTTCACAGCGAACTGATAGTTTGAGTATCAGAACTAACCAGATGTCATCAAGTAATCTCATATGCAAATGTGATATGGACATGCACAGTAATTACTATAATGTACAATTAAACAAGAAATCTGTCACTTTTTCTAAAACAATAAATGCTTAATAGCAAAACCACTGGGTATTTTAGAAGAGAAATGGAGCTTTCAGATGTAATAATTCCAGGGAATGTTATAAATTAAAGATAAAAGATATTAATTTTAAGTCAGAAAAGCAGTATTTTCTCAAAATTTTGATTCAAATTTTAAAACTCATGATCAAATTCTGTGTAATAATGAGATGTGCTAAATTTCTTATTTTTATTGCAAGTAAAATTAATTCAGCCATTAAAACGAAAAAAAAACCCGAAACAACCAAACCAAAAACGCACCAAGGAAAAAAAAAAAAGCCAAAACCACCAAAAAACTTTGTAATAGTGAAGCACAAACATCTGAAACACCACTATTAAGGCCCCTGCAACATACTTACATGTTCTAGGATTTGCCTAGCATTTTAACAGGTATTTTAATTAATAGATGAGTCACATATTCCTACAACATAGTCCTACATATTCCTACAACACAGCAACCAGGAACTCCTACATGCCTGTGTATTTTCGCAAAAGAGCTGAAAAGCAACACTGGTGTCCTCAAAACTTTGTAATTGTAAGCACGCGTTGTCTATGACAACCCAAATGGCAGGTTTTTTGGTCTTGAAACTGAAATCCTTTACTTATGGAAAACACGTAACATATATTGAGTGAAAATAGTTATTTTTCCCCTAGATTACCCAATTCACTGAGGCATGTTTGTGTTGGCCTTTCATTAGCAGTTGTATATCGGCTACGGGCTTCTATTATGCAGGACAGTAATTCTATTCAGCAAACTGGCAAAGCTGGCAACATTAAGATAACATCAATTTCACTGGTGAGGAAAAGACTTTAAATCCAAGCCACCACATTTAGCATTCAAATCAAGTATTTTTCTAGAAGTTATTAAAAATCTGTATGTTTCTATAAATTGTCTGGGGTTTTTCTGTTGTTTTTTTTTTGTTTTGTTTTGTTTTTTTTTAAATTCACTTGAGTGTATTTGTAAAAGTCATTGTTCCCACCTGTTTATGTACAATACCAGAATTTGGCTGCTTGCACAAAAGGATATTCCAAGAATTCACATACATCTTTCCCTTTACTGAAGCAGTAACATGGAAGACTACAGAGTAGAAAATACAAAGTACCAACTTTTATTACATGATACATCTACAACATTGATCTGAAATCACCCTTAAGCTGGCTGTAAAGGTATTAGGTATGTGGGTAGGTAACTGCTAGGAATGAGCCTAATCCTACTTTTCTGCCCTTCGGTGATACAATACCACTTTTAAGTGAGGAATTAAAAGTCACGGTCAATCATACCCACTGTAGAATAAATTTCAAAAAGGTAAAGTCTTGTGCTTGGAAAAGATGAAGGTCAAGCTTTCTCCCACACTTGCTTCAGAAACTGAAATCTGTATAAACGTGTACCTAAGCCTTTACTTAAAATCCAATGCAGATGTAACTACAACAGAGGTAGCTGCTAAAAAGATGCAATCAATGCTTGGTAAAATCAACAAGTAACATCGTTATCTGCAGCAAGCTTTAACAAAATATCTCATGTTCTCACATACACCATAATATTCACCCACTATCACTTAACATTCTGACTGTGACTCCCGAGGTTATCATCAGAGTTTCTGGAATCTCTTCAGCAAATGAAGCATTTAAGTTATCTGATTAAACAAGATCTCAGAAAAATGGTAACTTGAATATAAGCAAGTTGGCATTGGCAGAAAAGAAAATAAACACTCACCGCAAAATTCTGATTGAAGTTCTGGACGTAACCTGGTGGATAAAACTCAGGTGCTTTAACAGACAAGTTTGATCTTATCACAGGAGCTGCAGCCACCTGAGGTTCAGCCATTTCTGGTTCAGAATCAAGAACTGAAACTTTATCTTGTGATCCAGATGGAATCCCTGTCTGTGGCAGGTGCTCTGAAAAATTTTTGTTAAAAGCTTTTCTTAGAATTTACTAAATTAGTATGTATTCACACTGAGTACACACATAATACATATTTTTATTTAAAATATACTTTTACTATTAAAAATACTTTCAAGTTTACATCAAATACATTGTTTTTCTTAGACATGGATAAAGCTTTTACTTTAGCAAACTCTAGATGTCCTTCTACCTCATAGAAAATAACCACAATGTTCATGTGAAAGAAACATTTAAAACAAAGAAAGAAAAAAAAAAGAGAAAAAAGAAAAAGAGCTCTCTCCTCTCCCACAAAAACATGCTTTTTAAGAGAGCTAACCTGAGAAACTAGCAAATCTTGCTCATCTTGTGGGTTTTCCATACTTTTCAGATAGAAATTCAAGACTTTGAAGTTCAATTATTGGAAGACATGACTGATTTTTAACAACACTAATTTTTACCAGAATTCTCAAAGACACTTAGGTGTTCTTCTCATACACTGTTGGCAGAAAAACCCCCACAACTACACAACCAATCAACAGTGAAAGAGTGCTTTCAAAACAGTATTTCCCAAGAGTACCAAATGTATCTTTATAGATTAGCTCCTATGTTTATTGAAAATGGAACCTGAGACCTACCTGAAAAAGCTAACCAGCAAACAATGCTTTGTATTACTGTCAGATTGTGTTTATTTTCTGGCAAACCTTTAGGCTGGTGTTCTTCAATAAGAGGAAGGCTGAACCATCTGCTGTCAGTTTAACAGATGGATAAAATGCACACACAGATGTGAAGGCCCAGAACGGGGGGAAGTGGACAAAGAGGTGTTGTGAGTGGCTGCAGTGCCACACCACACCTTTACCTGGCCATAGGCCCACAACCCAGAAACATGATCACTCTTCTAAGGAAAGGTGCAGATGCCCCCATGCAGCTCTCCTCGGTGCCATGCCGAGAAGAACCCAGCGGATGGCTGGGGTGCACAGCGAGCTGGTCCTCAGGCCGCGGTGACTCCTCCGCCTCTACGTATGGGGGTGCGAAAAATCACGCGTCCCCGAGCTTTGGCCGCGGGGAGGTGAGGCGAACCCCCATGGCTCCAGTCTCAGGGGGTTGGCGAATGGGGGTACAAGCGAAGCAGGAGAAGCATGCTGCGGGCACACGAGTGGAGCGCGGCAGGCTGCAGGGAGCTGCTCCCCTACGCCTTTGACACCGGAGACCTCGGGAGGGGCAGGGAGGCGGCCGCTGCGCCCGTACCTGCGATTCTGGTGCCCAGAGGCGCAGTCTTCGGAGGCCGCAGTGATTCCTGCTGCGGGAAGAGGCCGCCCGCTTGGTGCTGCTGCTCGTCGGCCGAGCCTGAGCTGTTCGAACCGCTTCCCCCAAGGGGGGCCCCATCGCCGCTCTCCGGCGCTCCCGCACCACCGAGGACAGCAGTGCCTTCCCAGCCCGCACCCCGGCGTCGGCCGGCACCCGGAGTTCGGTCGAAAACATCCGACATGCTCACGCTGGGGCAGCTCAAGCGCTTCTGGGAGACAGCCGGCGAACGGCGTGGGGGCGGAACGTGGAAAGGGGCAGGGCGGCCGCTGAGTCCCGCCTTGCCGCGGCCCGAACCCTTCACTTTCAGTTGACAGCGCCCCCTCGCGGCACTTGTCATGCCTGTCGCCATAGCAACCCCAGCGCAGGGTTAGCAGCTCGACCGGGCCCGGGCGAGCGTCGCCCAGCTCGGCTGCCGCGGACGAACAGAGGTTGTTACCGGACTCGATGACAATCTCGCCTGTCCACAGCTGATGGGTCTGCAGCCCCCACCACAGCACGGGATCGCTTTCTAGCGGGCTGCGGGTGTCAGCAGCCGGTTCCGGGGCCGCAACTCGTCACGCCTCCCAAACAGCAGGGAAGCTTGGGCACGGCATTTCTCACAAAACAGTATGTTCTTGTGATTGTTCCCCTGCAGGAACACACAGCGCGAGGTGACCCCACCAGCACCAAGACTGCTGCTACACGTAGCAGAAGACCTGTAGCTACACTACGCACATATAGGCAGAGGAGAGGCGTTCGCATGCGCAGCTGCAGCCTGAATTCTACACTTGAGCCCTTAACATGGCAACATGATTGTACAGCTAGAGTGATTTCCTATAAATATGCTTATTCAGAATAATGTATTTTCATGTATAATTGTGCATGACATGGTAACAAACTCTATTCTGATTTAACTTTTTAAACCTTCCACACCAACAGGAACTAACTGGAGGAGCCAGTTATCTATCTGTGTAATGCATTTTGCTAATATTAACTAATATTTGCTAATATTTTGCTAATATCAACCCACATTAACTGTGGGTGACTCAGTTTAAGTGCCTGCTCACAATTTAATTCACCTATTCCTGTTCAGTTTTAGCCCAGAGCCTTACTCTACTCACTTTGCAAACTCCATCAAACCACAATATGCCTTCAAGATGAGGCAGGTAATGGAGACACAGGGTGCCCAGAACACACCACAGCTGGTCTTGACCCCACAAAGGTGCTCTGTCCCTTCCACAGCCAAAGCCAAAGCCTGAGGTGGGGTCAGGTCACAAACTCTGTTCATAACTCATGAGGGGGTGAAAAATACACATATGTGTGTGAAACATTATTAAAAAAAAACCAAACAGAATAGCATTGTCTTGTATAAAAAAAATAATAAATTGGATTGTAAAATGGTGCCTTTAGAAGTTATGTTCCCATTTGGTTTATTATTACATTTTTACCATTTTTAATTATTAATGGCATGTTGGTGTAGGGTGCAAAATATTTGTGACTTCCACAAAGCATGAACTGGTCTGATTTTTGGTGAGAGACAGGCTTGGCCAGACAGTAAAGGTGACAGAGCTGAAGTTCATTATGCTCATGGGAAAACTGTTCCTAGGCAACCGTTACTGAAAGCCAGACTGGTAAACTAACAGATCTACACACTGCAAAGGAAATGAGAGCAACAGTAGGAGGTTTTGATGAGACAAAAAAATACCGGAATACTTCCCTTGTGTAAACAATTCTCAAAACCAGATCTAAGCAGCATTACCAACCCTTTCAAGATCACAAATTAGGTACTAAAATAACTAAATGGAATAAATTCAGTAGTGTTGTCTTATTTCAGCTCCACTTTTAAAGCCTGTGTTTGTGACCTCGTGTCACATCTGCAGACTCCACCTTACCAGGAGGATAATGAAAAGCTTACATTAATGTGAAAAAGGAAGCTGAGATTTTCAACCACTGGTCTTGGGCTCCTGAGGCTTTAAAGGAAAATCATCATTATACTCTGGCATCACTTTTTAATAGATCAATTTTTTGAAAAAAGCAAATCTCATTCTTTAAGGTATACAACTATTGAGGAATTAAATGTTACTGAACAGGTAACTTTTCATCTGTGATCATAAATGTGAATTCTTCTTAAGATAATTCTATATTATCTTAATTTAATGTCTGTTTGGCAACTACTTACCATTTAGAGTGGACTGTGATACCAGATCCATCTTTTCCTCAGAGATGTAGTACTTGAGATTGTATGAAAGCAGTTGTGTTTGGCTGGGAACCCGACTGTATACACCTAAACAAAAAATTAAAAAAAGGAATTTTTCAGGCAATGAAATCCAAATTACAATACCCAAAATACTACCTACAATAGCCAACCCTTTTAGACAATGCCTAAAATTCTGCTTCGAATGTTCTGGCCTGAGTAACTGCCAGTTACTTCAATCCAAGATGGCTACGCTAGTGAGACACCCAATGACGGATGAAAACTTTTACCAAATGCCATTATTACTTACAAATATCCATTTGTAAGGAGTTACCTGTTTTGTCCTAAGTGTGAGACCTAATAGTCTATCACCTAATTTTGAAGCAATATTGTATACACCTGCAACACCTGGTGCTGAGAAACCACAAACTGCAACTTTGTCACTATTCAGAACACAAGCACTTTAAGATTTTTCTTTTGCTTTTTATGCTCACAACCTATTTATAATTAGAAAAAATGGAAAGGACTAGTTCTACCTTTTAAAACTGAAAATATTATGAATAATTGGTATTTTGCTGATCCCTATTATATTGATAAGGCATGGCATTGCACTACTTAATGGTTACTGAGTCTGAAACATAGAGCACCCATATTAGTACATAAAGTGTAACTCTAACTGGAATCTTTCCCATAGATTTATTTAAAAGCACAGTAGTCTCCTGAACATCTAGCAGCAGGGTATCCTATTAATTACTCTCAGAGAAACATGTTTTCTGAATCATTAACTTCACTTCTATTCGTAAGTCATTGGTTTTGAGGCTGTATGACACCTCTGGCAATGCATGTTTTGCAGGAACAGTTACACTGATGTAAATAAAGCCCAGCACATACCTAGAAACTACAGACTGTGTGAAGTAAGACAAGACACACAGGCAATGGGCAAGCTGTCATCTGTAAAGTTCCTACCTAATGGCACGTTCTCTTCATTGATTCATGTATGTTGCCAGAGTTCCTCCGTTTCTGTTATCCTCCCACATTGTATCTACCACTCTAATGCAGACACCAGCTCGCTGCTGTATTACACATCTCAAGAAATAACAATAATAAAGAAGATATCACCTATATGCCGTGGTGCTTGTCCGCAAGAAACCAGCCACGTTTCAGACACCTCCTTTGCAAGCCGCTGCCTCGACCTTCGCCTCCTCGTCCCAGTCACCGGCGGCCTGCCACGGCTGAGGGACGCGCCCGCCTGCTGCCAGCGCCCAACACTTTCGGCCTCCAACAACGGCTGCGACGCGACCAGCCGCGGCCGCGATACCTCAGCTTCCTCCGGGAAACGCCTCGCCAGCGCCGCAGCACCGTCCTGAGGGCAGGGCCGGGGGCGGAGCCAACCCTCAGCCGCGCGCCGCCGGCGGCACGCAAAGCACCACGTGACGGGCAGACCCCGCCACTTCCCTCCCGCTGGCGGACCGCCCCGACCCATGCCTTCCCCTCACTCCTTCCGGGTTGGCGGGCAGCGCACCCCCCACACCCCTTCTACACCATCCCGTCCCGTCCCATCCCATCCCATCCTGTCCCGTCCCATCCCGTCCCGTCCCGTCCCATCCCATCCCGTCCCATCCCATCCTGTCCCGTCCCATCCCGTCCCGTCCCGTCCCGCCCCGCCACGCCCCTCCCCACCCCACCCCGCGCTGGAGCTACCGCGCCGCCTCGACCCAAGGTCTGTTAGTGCAGCGGCAGGGCCAGCGCTGGCGTTACGGCTGGTGGGTGTCTTGCGGGATAGGGGCGGTGACATCCCTTTCTCGCTGCTTGGCCGGGGGCTGGCCGTTGCTGACTGGAGGGCTGCGGTGTCTCTTTCTCGCAGCGCCCCGGAGCCGCGGGAAGGAAGGGCGGGAGAGAGGAAGGAAAGACCTGTGGGAGGGACGACGTGTGGAGAAGGCAGGTAGCGCGGAAAGGGGCCTGCGGGCGGGCCCCAGGCAGGGAGCGGAGAAGTGGCGGCTGCGGGCCTCCCCCTGGGCGGGCGCGATAGCCATTGTGCCGGGGAGGAGGGGGCGGGGGGCCCTGGCGGGCCCTGGCGGGCGGGGGGCGAGCCGCCTGCCCAACTAAGGTCTTTCAGTGGCCGTGGCTATAAATAGTAGCGGGAACAAAACCGGGGCTCTGTGCTGTGGGCAGGGCGGGTGGGGAAGCGGTGGTACCTCGCTGTGGGGAGGGACGGGACGGCGCGTTGGACCCGTCTGGGTGTCGGGCTAGGGGCCCTTGCATCCGTCAGCAGTTGGTACCCGCCTGCTGAAGACGGCATCCCGGCTCCCCTGCCCTCTGACCCGCTTGTCGCAGCCCGAGTGCCTGCTCTGGGATGTGTCCGGAGCGCCCCTGAGATGCTGTACCGCAGCGGGTAACTGTTCTGGGAACTGTGGTAGGGGGTTGAATTGTTTGGCTCTGTGGAGCGCCGGAAGTTTACACGAGTCAAAGGTTCTGGTTTACAGGGGTGGTGTGAGGAGAATTCAGACTTTGAGCACAGAAATGCGATTTCTAGGTCAACTTATTATAATGTCAACCCTGCTATGGTCTTGTTACTTTAGTTCGCTAGTTGCCTCAGTCAAAAAGAAAGTTCTAGCTAGGAAGAAAAGGGGAGAAATGATCATCTCATGGCTTCTGGCAGTAGACGAGGACTTGGGCTACTGAGTTTACATGCCTTCTGTCTTGTATCATTAATAATTCTTGCGTTGTTTTTATGTGTGCAGCCCGAATTCCATAAGTGGCAAGGAGTCTGCTGTAAGGTCTGGGCAAAATGGCGAGCCTTCTGCGCGCCGCTGTTAGTGGGTGCTCCGCTCCTGTTTTTTGCAGTGTCTTACCACCTAATGTGCATTCTGCAAAGATGCTACGATTGCGAATGTTTAGAACCCACAGGATGCTCACGACTCGGGCAGTTCTAAAACCAGGTAAATTGATTACACTATTGTAAATAATCTTTTATTTTAAAATATGGAGATAGATTTAATTTTTCCTTTAGACATGCATTAGTACAGAAGAGACTTAAAAAGAGTGCTCTTAAATCATGTCAGTAGCATGCTTGGGTCAGATGTACAATTTTACGCTGGTTTTAAAGGGGGTATCTGAAAGGTGTTTGTGTTTATTATGAATACTTTT